ACTTCAACAAAGAGATAGAAAACATAAAAATGGAGATGGAAAACATAAAAAAAGAACCAGTCAGAAATAAAGAACACAATAATGGAAATGAAGAATACATTACAGGAAATCAACAGATTAGATGAAGCAGAGGATCCAACCAGCAATGTAGGAGATAAGGTAGCAGAAAACACCCAACCAGAACAGCAAAAAGAAAAAATATCCAAAAAACTTCACAGTTTAAGGGGCCTCTGGGGCAATATCAAGTGTACTAACATTCCCATCATTGGGGTACCAGAAAAAGAAGAGACAAAGCAAAGAATTGAAAATCTATTTGAAGAAATGACAGGAAACTTCCCTAACCTGATGAAGGAAGTGGATATTGAAGCCCAGGAACCTCAGAGAGTCTCCAAACAAGATGAACCCAGAGGCCCATGCCAAGACACATCATAATTAAAATGCCAAAGTTTAAACACAATGAGAGAATCTTAAAAGTCACAACAGAAAAGCAGTTAGTTACCTACAAGGCAGCCCCCGTAAGATTGTCAGCTGATTTCTCAACAGAAACTTTGCAGGCCGGAAGGGATTGGCAGGAAATATTCAAAGTAATAAAAAGTAAGGACCTACAACGAAGATCACTCTACCCAGCAAAGCTATCATTTAGATTCAAAGGACCAATAAAGAGCTTCCCAGACAAGAAAAAGATAATGGAGTTAATTACCACCAAACCAGTATTACAAGCAATCTTAGAGGGGCTTCTTTAAGACAACAAGAAAAAAAAATGAAAAATATGAATAATAAAATGGCAATAACTATATATCTATCAACAATTACTTTTAATGTAAATGGATTAAATGCTGCAATCAAAAGATGGGGTGGGGGGGGGCTGAATGGATAAGAAAACAAGACCGTTACATATGCTGCCTACAGGAGACTCACTTCAGATGGAAAGACACACACAGACTGAAAGTAAAGAAAAAAGATATTTCATGACAATGGAAACAAACAAGCAGAAAAGCTGGAGTAGCAATACTTATACCAGACAAAATAAACTTTAAAACAAAGGCTATAGCAAGAGACATAGAAGGAGCTAATAATCCCAATTCTGGGTATTTATCTGAAGAAACTCAAAATGCTACTTCAAGGGGACACGCTCATCCATATGTTCATTGCAGCATTGTTTACAATGGCCAAGATATGAAGGCAACCTGGGTGTCCTTGAATGGCTGAATAGATACACAAGAGGTGGCACATACCATATTTCCCCATGTATAAGACACATCTTTTTTCAAAAAATTTGGGGTCTAAAAACTGGGTGCATCCTAACAGTGGTTGTAGATTTCAAATGCCATAGATAGAACTGAGGACGAGGCAATATATGAAGACAATGGTTCGTCATCAGACACAGACGAGGACAAGCTAATGGTTGAGAGTTTTGACAGTGATGAGGAGCTGTATGAATTTTATTATGAATAAAACTTGAGTTCAATAACTTTATGTCATACTTTTTTTTCAAATTTCAGGTCCCAAAATTAAGGTGCGTCTTATACATGGGGAAATACGGTACCTACAATGGAATATTACTCAGCCATAAAAAAGGATGAAACCTTCCCATCTGTGACAACATGGATGGACCTACAGGGTATTGTGCTGAGTGTAGTAAGTCAGACAGTGAAAGACAGATGTGTCGTTGCCGGGGGTTTGCGGGGGAGGTTTCGGCGGTGAGATGCCCAGTGTACAAAAGGCACATGGAGCCGACATAAAGAGGAACCAGTGTCTTTAATCAGCAATAGCAACCTTATATGGCGGTTTGGAGGAGGAGAGCGCATGGGAGTGTGCCTGCTCCCTCCCGCAAGTGCAAGTCACGCTTGTATAAGGGCTTCTGGGGTTGTGTCCCGTACCCCAGGCTGCACGTATTTGGACATGCGCGGGTCTCGTGTTCCAGGCTTCCACTTGTGCATGCCTGAACGTGCCCAGGCCCTGTCAAGATGTCATATGATTTCACTTATAAGTGGAATCTAAAGAACAAAATAAACAAATGAAACAAAAAACTCATAGAATACAGAGAACATTTTGATGGTTGCCAGATGAGGGTGGGTGAAAAAGGGGAAGGGACTAAGAAGTACCAATTGGTTGTTACACAGTAGTCATGGGGATGTAGGGTATAGCATAAGGAATATAGTCAATAATATTGTAATAACTAGGTATGGTGTCAGATGGGTACTAGATTTATCCAGGTGATAGATGGGAGGGGAGTTGGGAACAGAGTGAAGAAGGTGAAGAGATTAAGAAATACAAATTGGTAGTTACAAAATAGTCATGGCGATGTAATGTAAAGCATAGAGAATATAGTCAATAATATGGTAATCACTATGTACAGTGCCAAGGACCTACAATTAGAGAGGGGGATCACTTTGTAAATTATATAAATGTCTAACCACTATGCTGTACACCTGAAATTAATATAAAATAATACTAAATATCAACTGTAGTTGAAAAATTAAAAAGGGGAGAAGATAAAGGGAAATAAGAGGTTCAAATTTCCAGGAATAAAACAAGCAAGTCTTGGGAATGTAATATACAACATAGGAAATATAGTCATTAATATTATGATAGAGTGGTGTGGTGTCAGATGGTTGCTGGACTTATCATGGTGGTCACTTCTTTAGCATAAGGAATATAATCAATAATATGGTAATAACTCTGTATAGTGCCAGGTGGGTACTGTTGAATAACTATGAGGTAAACATGAAACCAATATAATATTGTATTTAGCTATATTTTAATTAAAAAATCTTTTACAAAAGAACTTTGGGTTGTCGGAAAAGTCATGACGTATTTTTTCTGTTTTTCATTGCAAAAATGCGTCATGACTTTTCCGACTACCCAGTACTAACCTCGAGTATAGTCTTAAAATGGATTCTGAGAATGCACCTGGATTAATAGGGAAGGAATTCTGTGATTGATGGACATATCTGCCTCAGACACAGAAGTAACAAGTGGTGGCACATTTGCCATATATTTGGCATCTCTATGAAGCATCATCTCATATTTCACTAAGTTCATAGACATCCAAACTATCTATAGTAATAATACTGGTTTTAAAATAAACATTCCATTATCTATACATCTGAATTACAGCTATTCTTCAGAGTAGTCATCTTTAGAGGCTAGTTATTTCAACAACTATCACTGGGATTAAAATTTTGGAGTTCTTGATAAACCCAAAATACAAATCAAACTCATGACTTTGTAGGCAAACTTGGTTTTGAGGAAGATGATACTTTGGAAGTTCGGTAAATTCCTTATTCCACCTGTCTTGGCTCCAAATGACTTCCAATTCATGAAAAAATTAACTCTGTCTTGAAGGATGCAAATGTGCTACCAATAAGGATATTAAAATTATTCCACCAATAATTTGAATGCCTATATTGTATCAGGTGCAATGCTCAGTGTTGGGAATGAAAATAAAAGGCATCATGCCTGCCCTGAGGAGCTAATAATCTGTGTCAAACAGACAAGGAAGCCAGCAGTTTAAATCCAGCATAGCAAGCGCTATAGTTACAGAGAGCTCAAGCTGTGTCGAAGGCAGCTAACTCACTCTGAGGGGATGGGGAAGAAAGAGAAAAGATTTCCCAGAGGTACCTCTACAGCTCAGCACTGAAGGACCTGAGTGAGTCAGGTCGTAGTAGAATGGGGGAAGAAGGGACAGTAGTGAGGAGGACTTTCAAAAGAGACAGCATGTGCGAAGCCCTGGAGATAGAAGAAGAAAGCACAGACCGCTTGGGGAGCTCGCGAGTGACTCATAAATAAATGGCGGCAGCAGAAGCCGTTGTGCGATGAGGCAGAAATGCACACGGGCCTGACACACTAGAGGCACTGGGTTTTGTCCTGAAGGCCACGAAAATCCACAGACCAAACTGCGTCTTTTAGAAAGATCATTTGGCACTCCTTCCATGCGCCATGCTGTGTGCCAGGCCCGTGCAAACAATAAAAACATGGATCAGATCTGTTCCTGCCCAGACCATGACTCGTAGTCACACTGGGTTAGCCTGGGTGAAGCTCGCGGCTTTGACTACCATGTAGGCCGCTGGCCTTGCTCAGTCTCACAGCCAGGAATTCACCTTTGACATCACAGCACGCCTCTCTCACAAATAGGAAAGGCGAGAGAGGGAGGACAAGTCAGAAGGAACCACATCGCCTTTACTGGAAGAGTGCTCAAAGCATATGTCCCTTTACTACAACTGACTTGCAAGTAGCAACAGCTTAAAATTCTTTAAATAGTCTTAACACAGTGCAAAATAAAATAAAATGCTAGCGTGCAGCTGCATGACCGAGTAAAATAATCTCAGATTAGGAGCTAATCAACTTGGGTTGGAAGTTTCTTCTTCTGTCTGGGCCTCCAAGTTTTCATCTAGCAAATGGAAGAAACCCAACTTGTTTCATCTACAAGACTACATGGCATGTTTGCAAACTGCCTAACACAGTACCTGGTACATAACAGGTGCTCAAAAATGGTAGGCATTTTCTCTCTACCACTCGCTATTACAAGCCCACGCTGGCGGGCTTATGGCAAGGGCAAAACCAAATACAGCTTGAAATGTAGGCACCAATGAGTTGTTCATCTTATATGGGCAGACTGGTCGTACTGCCGAAATGTAGCGTTTCACCTAGATAATGTGACACCACACTGTACAACCCCCAGCTACGTATCAATACAGTCAGGAGCAGACCATACTGGGGAGGTGAAAAATATGTATGTGTGCAATAAATAACACTGGGCTATTTACAGTGCTCGTCTTGGGTTGCAGTGGGCTCCTCTGCCTGCAAGCCTGTGAGTGCCCACAAGCTCTGTCCTGCTGAATACCTCTGAGTGCCCTGCCAGGCAGGAAGTGTCCCCAGAGGCACCAGCAGGCCTAAGCATCGATGTCACCCCAGCCGCTACAAACCACACTCAGCCCCACAAAAGAAAGGAAAACAGGAGAGACATTGGATTGGATCTTCCAGAAGGTCTTTGTTGCACTTTTCTCCATCATTGAAAAAAAAAATTACATCATCAAATAAAGACAATAGCAGCACAGCTTATTGAAATGTTTCAAGCAAATTTGCTTTTGTACTTTTTCTAAGAACATTATGAAATTCCCTCCTCCCCCCCACCCCACATTATTTTCTGTAAAATGCCTTTTTTTTAAGCACCATGAAATCCTACAGAGAGAAAAAAATAGGTAAAACACCTCCACGCGTGGGTTTATCGTCGTCGTCGTCACTGGGTCCCCTGCCTGTGACTCTGGGACCGGGAAGGAGGCCTGAGGCTGGTTTGCATGTGGGTTGGTTTGCATATCTCTTCTAGGCACCACTGTACCTTCTCCCTTCAAGCTCGGTGCCCTGCTGGCAAAGGAGAGGTTTTCCAGTTATTCTCTGCAGCTCGGGCCTGCTGTTATCGGTGGAATGGAAGACCTCATGAGGATTTTTTTTGTTTTTTTTAATGCACAGGGAACTATTTGAGATTTTTCACTTAAGAACCAAGAACACAAAAAAAGTAGATTCCAAATCTCTTAGGCACCTGTGAAAATGATAATCACGTTCAGTAAAGTCAGAGAGACACCTCTCATTCCCCCTCATGGGACTTAGGGGCTGCCACGAAGGACTGAGGTTTACATGGATTGTGGGCAGGTGGGTGAAGTACAATGCAGCTGGTCTGTTGTGCGAGGGCAGAGGGCAGGCCTTTCTTTTACAGCCATGGAATCGCCAAGCTATTCCAAAGCTTCCATAGAATTGACAGCATCAACAATGCCAAATTAAAGTCACCTTTGCTTCAGAGAGTTACCATTTTTACTTTTTAAGGCCATTGCTAACTAGCTCTTGCATTATACCACCAAAAGCACCCTCTGCTCACACAGCCACTGTCTTTGCCCACAGTTGCATCATAACAGAAAGAATAAACCCCACTTGAAACATTAGTGGGATGCAGAAAAAAAGACACATGAAATGCAGTAGTGGCTCTTTTTCCTCTCTTTTTTAGAACATCTCTGCAGGCTTGTTTGCCTATGTCTTTCCCATGGTTTGGAAACCATGGTGCATGCTGGGTGGTCTACATTCTTACACGATCCAGTGAGTGAAAACCTGCTCCACCCAAATTCTGACCCCATGCTCACGAATCCCCCAACCCAAGCACGCAAATAGATGAGCAGCATTGACTCAGCCAGGAAATTACATCATCTCAGAGGGAGACAAGGAGGTGCTTTGCTAACATCTAGTACAACTAGGACTTTCAATATGGAGTGGTCTTCACAGAAACCAAAGCAGCCATTTCCTGTATGTGTGTGTGTGTGTGTGTGTGTGTGTGTGTATGTGTTCATGTGTGTGTATCTGTGTGTCTGAGTGAGGTGTCTATAGTATATGAATTCATGAAGTCATTAAAGGGAACCTTTACTATAACTGACTTGCAAATAGCAACAGCTTAAAATTATTTAAATAGTCTTAACACCATGCAAAAAATGCCCACATAGCGTGGGTCCTCCGAGGGACAGTAAGGGAAGAACAGGGTGAGCCTACAAAGGGCGCAATCCTAATTTGGACACCAGTCTCTCAAATACGTCTGGTCCATCAATTACCCAGAAAACAATCCCAAAGAGCAAAAGACTAAGCTCTCATCTCAGGCTGAAATAATTGGGCCCATAGTCAGTATTCACAAATCCAGCTACCAACATTCTTAAGTGTAAGTCATAGACCAGGACTGTTGGGTCAGAGAACTGCATAACTAAAAGGGACCTTGACAATTATCTGGTTCAACTCCCTTGATGTACTGATGAGGTAACAGAGATATAGGCAAGGGGACAGAGGTGTCCACAATCACAGACTAGGACTGGTGGAGCACAGGCAAGTAGTCCCAGCCACCCTGATATTAGGCCAGGGACACCCCTACATACACACACATGAAGGCCCGACCCCCAAAGTGATCAATTCCTAGAGTCACGTTTGGGTTAGGGCTGGGTCTCTGCAAACCGTCCTTTGGCTCTCGCCAGTAATCTTCAGACCAGCCTTGAAAGATAAATTTGGGACCTAATTACCAGGTGAAGCAAAAGACACTGCCCACTGAAGATACTGAGCATGCGCTCCTTCTGTGTGGAGAATCAACACGTCTATTCCAGGTTTACGGTGGAGTGGGGAGCGCAGGTTGGAAGGGCAGGGCTGGGCTGATGGGCATTTGGAATCTGTAGCAGCTTTGCCTTATCCACGTTTTCTACGTGCTATTTGGCCCATCTTTAAAAAGTAACATTCAAGCAACTTCAGAACAACTGGCCTCCCCCACATCTTTGCTTGTATACCCAAAGAGGAGTCCAACTGCCTTATTCCCTCAGTTTCTCCTTTGGAGATTATAGTTTGTCAGACACTTTGCCCAATATTAATAGATCAGTCTCCATAGAGGGAGGACTCCTCTTTGATTTTACTCATTAGGGCCTTGGCCCCATCTGTCCTTGGGGGAGGGGATTACATTGGAGATTTCCCCACTCCCGGTCAAGGGTTATTTCTGATCACTGTGATTGAACTCATTTGGGGGAGCGTCTATGCACACACCAACCCCTGTTCCATTTGGTAGAGTGTACAGCTTTAGTGCTTTGAATTGTTTTATTCCTGCTGTATGCAGAGTTCCTGCAAGGTAAGCAAGTAAAGTGCAAAAGAGTGCTTTCAAAGGGCATTTTAACAATACAAAAAGGGTGCCACACGCAGCCTTCCCCAAACCCAAACCAAAACTAAAATAATGTATGGGAAGTTTGGCAAGGTCAACACTTTAGGTCATGTTTACACAAAGACCTTGGTAGTAGAGATCTTCTCCCCACCTCTGTATGCTGTGTCCATGAAACTAGAAAGACACACGCACACGAACACACACATAAGCACACATGCACGTACAAGGGTGCATCACACAGACGCTGTAGCAAAGTCGAAAGCAGACTTTGGTCAAACAGGGTTTGAATACCAGCTCTACCACTTTCTTGCTGTGTGCCACTGGGTAAGTTACTTAGCTTCCCTGAGCCTCTGTGTCCTCCTCTGCATAAGGGGTTTGCAAACACTTCCTACAGAGTGTAGCTACGAGGTTTCAGTGAGCTAATGCCCATAAAGTGCCTAACCTAGTGCCTGGCCCACAGAAGCCACTGGATAAATGACAGGGAAGCCTCTGCCCGATTTGGCTATAGGGTCTAGAATTTTAACACACTATTAAAGAAGGTTCCGCGTAATAGAGGGTAGAAACCCAAACAAATGAGATCCATGGACAGTTTAATGAGGAAGCTTTTAACCTGACAGAATAAGAATGTCCCAGTTATCTACCCATTTCTTCAAATACATTTCCTCTGGCTGGAATGATTTCCACAGTAAGAACCACTGCCCACACTTCACAGGCATCGTTTCTCAAGTGTCTGCTTATCACTGTGTGGACACAGGATGTTACCAGTGGGCCACAGCTCCAGCCCCAGGGAGGCGTTAACCCAAGCCTACCTTGGACAGGCAGGAAGGGCCTCATCCAAGTTGATTCTTATTTGGCTCCTTCCCCCAAAGCAATGCCAGGACTTCAACTAGAGGCTAGAGGTTGGGGGTGGGAGGGTGAGGTTTGTGCTCCAGTCAAGGGAGAGCTGCTCATTTTTGGAAAACAGGAAGAGCTCCGCCATGGTACCAGTGGTCAAGGATGTGATGGGCATCATTTTCCCATTTTCCCTGGAAGTCAGAAAGCATTAGATGGGTTTCTGGAAGTCTCCGCTAGTCCTGTGATCTTTTGATAAATCCACTGATGTATTAGTCATGTGAAATCCCCAAAAGGTGGCACTGGGCCTGGGAGGCCCATAACCAGCAACTTTCCTGCTTCTGCCAGGTCCAAATGCTTAAGTCTATGGTCCAAATGGCTAAGTCTGAACCCCAGTGCAAGGGCCGGCCAATTCTGAAAAAATCTGATACATACACAGGATGATTGGCCTAGTACGTATTTTTCCCTTTCTGATAAAAATCCATTTAAACTCTTCCTCTCAAAGCTTATGACTAGCCATTCCCCCACTTTCCTTCACTCGTGTTTTAACCTCACGGAACAATCATAATTATCACATGTTGGTTAATGTTTGCCCTGAAACAATCAATCACGTTGGTGATCCAGTTGGTGTTCCAATAGCAGATATGAAATAAAGAAACAAGCCAGGAAAAGTAAGTAATGCTTTCAAAATAAAGGAATGCCCAAACATATAAGGAAAATATTTTAAATACTTCTTTTCAGTATTATTTTTTCAAATGGCATTAATGGCACTTAAGCTGCAAGCAATTAAAACAATTCAATCTTCTTGTACGTACAAGGGTTGGTTGAGGGTTTAGTTTTCCTTTTGTTTGGAGATAGCAAGATTGGGTCTTGTTACTATGTCTATCCTAAGACACCCAAAAGGACGAAAAGCCCTGAGATGGAATGATGCCATGGTCCTCCTTGGTATGTCTCAGACATGCAGGATGTCTATATTTATAAAAATTTAGGGTCAGCTAGACAGAACAGCAAGCCACTGGCATCATGCAAGGCAATAGTTTTGGTATTTCCCCCCTCTTATAAAAACAAGTTATAACTGAAGTTCCACTAGAAAAGTGAACATGAACATGTCAAAACCAGTTTATTTTCACCATCGCACCCACTGAGGAAAATGCATGATTTTTGCCTGTAACCATGCAGCGGTTGAGGTTGAGTTTTTACCAATGCTTGCAAGTTCATTTAGACTACCTACCCCTGTGAGAAAGACAAAATTCAGTAGGCTTCCGTCATTGGTTAAGGTGATATCCACAGTGTGATGTTTGCAATTAGTTTTTCTTTTGTAATGAGGAAAGCAATTGCACCTTTTAATACATGTGCTCTGATCTGCTTCCAACAACTTCCAGGTGCTCTCAGGTCCCATGGACATTCATTTGGAGCTTAGAAAGACTAGCTATGCACTGAATGGTTTGTATCAAAATTCAAGCTCAGAGCAACATGCCAAAAACGTCAGCTCTAACCCTACAGGTACCAGTTCACCCCCAATCTGGTCCCCTTGTGTGTGTGCATATATCACTAACGGTAGGTTCAGGAAGTGAGACTCCATCTAAAAGACACACCTGTTCCCTCCAGAAGGCTGGTCTAAGGAATAGCTGCCCTTTTCTGTGTGCCATGCCAGGGCGGCGCTGTACCGGGGCACAGCATCGCCCCCCGAAGCGCCCTTGACCTTTGCGGCCGTGACCGCCCACGCGTGCGAACGCTCCCTGGGTGTCTGTCCTGCGCTCGCTGTCAGAAACGGAGTCCTTGTTCTTTGATTCCTTTTGGCAGAGCGAGCTTTCTCGGTCGTTTATGGCACAGTGAAATATATTCTTCAATGCTATGTAATTTCGGACTAACGAGAAATCTGTTTAAGGCACGTGTCTCAGGGTGAGTATTAAAAAAAAAAAAAAAAAGAACCACAACGCTACATCGAGTCCAATGTCCTTAACCTTTAGTTTCTGTCTTCAAGTAACGCGTTGTTCTCGTGTTCCCTGTCTTTGGTGTCCGTGGGGACCACCCCGTTCTCCACGCAGGCCTGCTGCTGGGCGCAGTCCGTCAGCATGGCTGTGCTCGAGTGGTCCGAGTTACACACCTTTTCCGTCTCCTCCTCCTTCTTCTTGTCTTCCTCCAGGGAGAAGTTCCGGAAAGTCTTGTAGATTTTCTGGACATCCTCGGGCAAGGTCTTTCTGATGTCTTTGTTTTTCCTCTTGGTGAGCCTGGAGGTGGAGCCGAACTTGTTGACGATGTTGTCCTCGGAGGCCCCCTGCCCGTGTTTGTTGAGCTGCTCTGACCCCTTGAGGCGCAGGTTGTTGGGCCGGTTGTTGATGCTCTCCTGGGAGGAGGCCTTGAAGCGGCCCGTGTCCAGTGCGGCGAAGACAGAGCGCTTCTCGGGGGAGAGCATGTCCAGAGAGTGCGCCCGCTGGTCCAGGCCCAGGCGCCGGCGCTCCATGCTGCGGATGGTGGCCGCCCGCTGCAGCTTGTCGTGGATCTCCACGCTGAGCCGCCGCCGCGTCTCCCGGAACTCGGCCGTCACGTTGGCCTTCCACTCGGCCGCGTGGGCCTTGATTTCACCCACCTAGCCGAGAGACAGAAGAGCAAAAGCACGCTGAAAAATCCCTCTCGGCCCGAGCCCCAGGCACCCACAGCCCTTGGGTGTCCCCCTGGGAAGGTTGGTTCTGGGGGGGGGGAGGCCCGAGGCGGTGGAGCACACGCCCAGGGGGAGGGGTGACATGCTAGCTCTGCCCTAGTCCCTCCTGAGGCCTAAACACCCATCTCAAATTGGCTGGTGACTGGTGCGTCTCAGGGAGACACATGTGCTGGAGCACCCAACTGGAAGCTCATGATTTGGAGACGGTGATCCAGTTATGTGTCCCCTCCCTGGAATGGTATGGCCTCATTCCTCCAGCACAACGGGAGTAATCGGGTCCAGCTGACAGAGTTTTCAGTGTTCTGTGAGATACAGGCACGCGCCTAGCTCAGTCCTGGGCACAAAGCACATGTTCAGCGGGTCCTTCGCCTGTCCCTGTCCCTCCAATGCCTCTATCTGGGTAGGGGGACCAACCCGTCCCAGTTAGCCTGGGACTGTCCCGGTTTTAAAAGGCAAGGTCCTGTGTCCTAGGTATGCCCTCAGTACTGGGCAAACGGGGACTGTTGGTCACCCTGTATTGGGGCCATGCTATGGTCATGTGCTATCAGGCTTGCCCCCTCCAGGGCACCTGGTAACCAAATTTCCCTGGTCATGGTGCATAAAGGGGGCGTGTTCTGCCAAAGCCCAGAGAACACGCTTCCTTAGAGTGAGGTTTTACAGGAGCAGCAGCACCCAATCTCAGGGCTCCTCCTCAGCAGGCAAACAGTCCACGTCCTGTGCTTTCCTATGCAGATGAGTAACTCAGATTTTTACACTGAAGAAAGTCACTATTTATGTTGTTACTCTCTCTTTCACTATAGCTGATTTTCAGCAGGCCATTTAGCTACCTGGGGAATCAGACTGGATGCAGATGGCATTGCCAGTGGCTCTGTAAGCCAGGAAAATGAACATTGTGCCCAGGAACGATATGGAAAATGTCTGCCTCCAGCCACTTTCTCCCACAGCCTTCTACATAGAATGGCCATAGTCTGGGACGTGAACAGCCCTTAAAGAGGCTGTCCCTCTTTTTTTCTTTGGTTTTTATCTCCTTTCCTTTCTTTACCTCCTCCCTTCTCTTTCCACCTCCTTTCTTATTTCTTTTCCTCTCTCCCTAGAAGAACTACATGGACTACCTTTCCTGCCTATGCCTTCCTTTTCTTGCCTTTTTGTAGGTTTCTGTGCACATTTATATGCGGGAATAGGGACTGCATGCCCCTGGCCATACGGATTGACTTATTTCTACAGATCGGACAACCAGAAGGGGATACACGTGAAAGGGACCCCTCAAGTGTACTTCTGCATGGCCAGCCACCATTCAGGGACTTCAGTCTCCTACAGAATGGAGAAAAACTCATGGCGTTCAACTGCATTTCCATACAGACCACAAGGCCTGCACACTTGAAGGACAGGCCGGCTTTCCCAAGCTTCTTATGAATTTTTTAAGCCTCAGCCTACATATTTGCTGATAAGGGGAAATTGCACTCCTACCTCAACGTAGTCTACCTCTGCTGACTATTTCTTTTCTTTTTGTTTCCCTTTTCACTTTTAAAAATAAGTTGTTGTTTATTAGCCTTTCCAGGATCCGTTGGCTGGTTAAGTGAGTCACCTGCCAAATTTTCTCACCTGCCAGAAAAGGATCCAAAAATAACTGCTATTCGATTTAATGATTCAAACCCAGGAAGACTTATGAGCCCTCCATTTAGTAAAAATTGCTCTAGCCAATTGAACAGAGACAGGAAATTCTTGACACGATTTCATCTGACCTCAGGAATATTCACAGAATCTGGAAGGGGTCCTACCTCTTCTTTTGTCTTTTTGGACAGAACCCGTAGCCAATCTCCGATCATACTGAGGACAGCCGCAAAGTAGGCAAGGCCAACAAGGATCCAGAACCACACTAGGGGCTTATACCACTCGCGGTAATTGATGCCAGCGTTTCCCCCTGAAAACAACCACATGTTACTTTCCAGAATCTAGCATATGACTTTGCAAAGCAAACATATTCTGGTCCATGCAGCAGAGAGTCATCATCGTATCACCATCTAACACTCAACTCTTAGGCCTGCTGTATACAAGATGTGACGGGGTTGGAAGGCAAGGAAAAGATGTGTGCTGTCCCTAAAGAAACGTGACTTGCTGCTGAACTTCCTTTGTTTCTTGACCACTAACTGTCATACCCGTAACAAAAACATGTCAGGGGCCAACTTGATCCAACTCTTCTCAACCTGAGCTTGACAATGAATGACTTGAGCTGGAGCACAACAGATCAGGTCCACTTGTCAATTTTTCTTAAACTTCCTTAAATTTAATAAAAATATTATTAAATATTCCCAAGTGGTTTGGAATTCATGGAACTACTTCCTTCCTAAGTGCACGTGCATTTACCAAGAGCTGAGTGGATGTGTGGAAGTAAATTAGACATAATGTCATTCCTGAGACTTTGATCCAAGTAATAGTGATTTAATGCTAACTGAGGGATGTTTACATGATGCTAATCCACAGGATCAATTAGACTGAGTCATTAGAATCACCATGCTAGGACTAAAAAGGGAATGTCAAGGCCAGCTAGTCCAATCCCTTTATTTTATAAATAGGGATTACAGGAAAAATCCATCAAACCAAATTGGCTAGTTGCCTGATTGCATCGACTGGCTGTTCTGTTGAAAGGACCAGTCATTTATTCCCAATAATTAGCCTAATTTATTCTAGCCCTCCCACAGGCACTGCCAAAGGGGGCCATGAAAAATAGGTTCCAAGCCCAGCCCTCTCTCCTAAAGAAGTGAGGAAGCTCCATGAAATAATTGATGTCGGCCTTGTTCTCACTCTGAGAGATGCGTTACCCAATGAACTAGGCAGGTGGCCATTTCTAAGACAACCGACATTAGCAGTGTATTGGTAATTACGCTATTACATGAGTGATGACTAGACTTTCCCACTGGGTCATGGCAGTAACCTCATCTCGCACCACTGAATCCATACTGAGCTCTTATGGTATCAGTGATACCTCCCAAAGCAGCTGGGCGGGCACTGTGGCCTGTGGCCTGCGGCTCTTCTCAATGCAACCCAGCCCAGTTTTCAGTGCACCCCACAAGGTCTCAACAGCTACTGCCACTTCTGGTTTATTTTTTAATAAAGAAAAAAGGGTTTTGTCTTGGTTTTTTTTCTTTCATTGTAATGTATGCCTTTTATTTTTTCAATCTTATTAAATGTATTGGGGTGGCATTTTATTACATTTATTGGGGTTAATAAAATTACATAGTTGTCAAGTGTACAATTGTATAATACATCATCTGTATATTGCATTGTGTGTTCATCACTCAAAATCAGTTGTCTTTCCATCACCATATATTTGACCCCCTTTTCCCTCTTCTACCATCCCCACTTCCCTCTGGTAATCACCATTCTGTCGTCTGTGTCTATGAGTTTTGTTGGTTGGTTGGTTGGTTTGTTGCTTTCAGTTTTATATCCCACATGAGTGAAATCATATGGTTCTTGACGTTTTCTAGCTGAATTATCTTAAAATTAGAATTCCAAACATGGCTAAAGTCCTCTGTGGCCAGGCCCCCGGGGTTTGGTTTAGCTGCTCCCCCCCCCTTTTTTTTTTTTCCTTTTAGACAACTCTCCCCTGCAGCTTTCTTTAGGATACCATTGGAGTTCCTGCAACATTAAGTGGTTTTTGAGGTTCGTTTTGTTTCTGTGCTAGACCAGAGGATTCTGCAGCTTTCCCCTTGGAGCTATCTGAAAGTAAATATTTACCTTAGCCAGTCACCATCACCTAGCAAAGACTGTCACTAGAGCGCGCTAGTGAACAAAGCGATAACCACCCTTCTGCGTCTACATCAGCTGCTTGCTGAATTCGGAGGTCTGCGTGTACTCCCACCCAAGGTTGTGAAATGCTGTAATGTTGCCTGGCTGTCCTAAAGTGAGCCAGCTACAAAATAAACCAGTACCTAATCCTGCGTGGTGATCCATGTCCCAATTATATCTCTAGTAGAGTTGATACTGTGTTAAATCACAGCAACCACCAGCTCTTGCCAATATACGTTTTGAAATGATTGGGCATCCTTCACCCATCACTCTCAGGGTATTGCCAAAAGGTTGTGACAGACTTCCGCTCTTCTAAGGCATGCATTCTTCACACTGGCCTATGTAAGCTCTGGAAGCTGGGGCTTAGAAGGGCCTGGCCTAATTGCAGTCAGCACTGTGAATCCTAAGAAACCCCTGTCTGTGGAGGCCTCAGGACAAAGGAAATATGGCTCCGTAATCAGCGGTAAAGAAGGGAATTAAAAGTGTCCTGTCTGTGACTGCGGAGGTCATGCCCTTACTGGGTAAGTCAAGATAAGGTCAAGTGCTAGTACGTGCTAAGTGCTCACAGTCCACGGTGACTAATAATAATAAATAAAAATCATAAATAACTTTTAAATCTCTTATTCCCAGGGCCCAGATTAACAGATGGAATTGAGCAATATTTGAGAGCAGGGGTCATCACAAATGTCCTCTAACAGTCCTCCAGACAGCCCAGGGTTAGCACAGAGCACTTTGAAGCACAGCCTAGTGCCAGTGATGCTTTGGGGAACTTAAAGATGTTTGTGAAATAGTTCTAAACTCCAGCTGTCATTACAGCACCAAGCTCCACTGAGTTTTTTCACAGACCAGCTCTGGAAGATGCTAAGGAATTAACTGGACAATCGTTCCTCTTTTCTCAGTTTCTCTGTGGTTTCTCTCCAGAGCTTGAGGCCACTAATCAGATGGCATCAGGTGACTTACCCCTCAAGGTGAGGGGCAAATGCCCCCGCACAATGCTTGAACACTGTGCATAAGGAAAAACTGGTGGGGTCCCAGGCCCCAGGATTTTTGCAAATAATTTTTAATCACTTTGACTTTGTGATTCTTAGTCCTGAGTCAATAAAAAGGAAGAAAAACAAAAGCTGCTATTTCTACAAAGTGGACGTGAGTCTTCATCCGCCTGGTTGGAATAGCTACAAAACCACTCTTCCAGTTACCTTTCACACAGAATTAACAAAAACCATGCCTTTTGACGAGCCTCCACCATCCCGTCCAGAATTTCCTGATTTCCAGATTCCCAGGACCAGACCTGTACTTATGTGCACCGTACTCTGTGGAGAAACCAAGGTACAGTGGGATCACGTGCCAAAGGAAGGACAGATGGCCTGAAGAGCTTAGCCTGCATGTGCCCAGGTTGCTGCTTAACCAGGAACTGGGCAAGGGCACACACGCCCCACCCAACATTCTGAACTTATGATGGAGGTGGTCACTTCTTGGAGAAAAGGGTCGATTGTCTGACCTAGAGCTATCACACTGAGAAAGAGAAGGGTGGCCTCCTTCTTCTAGTCCTGCCTTCCTACCCCACTCTGGGAAAGGAGTACATATAAGAAGCCAGATCTCAGCTCATTTTCAACTCCCTGACCCTAAATGAAAATGACGGTGGTTTTCTTTGATTTCCCTCAACCCAGCTCATTGGCATTTATTTTCACAATGAAGGCTGTTCCTTCTATATACATTCAAGTAGAATCCATTATACTATATTCCCTTGTGGGGGGAGGAGCAGTTTTCAGCTCCGGGTAGTCACCTGAGCCCTAAGTCTGGCGTCGTCGGGGCAAGCCCAGGACAGTTTTTTAAAGACAATGGCCCTCACCCTGGTGGCATCAGGAAGATTAACCCGCAGCTCACTGCAGGCCAAGCTCTATACTAATCTCTCCAGAGTTTCATATTTGCCGCTTGCTAATACCATCTTTATCGATTGATTCAAGGAGCCTTAATACAGAAGTCCTGGGGAGGCCTTCCTCTCATGCATGGCAGAAGCCCACTGCTGTCTACATCACAGAGGACCACGGGCTTGAAAGGAGCCTGTGCACAGCAGTGGGGACGCTGAGCGTTTTTCATTTGCTTCTCTCACAACACCCTTCCTCATGGTTTTGGAAAGCAGGGCCAATGGAATATTTCCCCACCTACGGGGGCCCCAGTGACTGGGATGCCCAAGGTGCTTACCTGCTACAAAATCACCAAAGCCCACCGTGGTTAGAGTGACCACCACAAAGTAAATGGACTCCAAGGCCGTCCAGCCCTCGATGTATTTGAAAATGACAGCAGGGATTGTCACAAACACAATGCAGCCGGCCAAGATGAACAGGATGGTTGAGATGACCCGGATCTTGGTCTGACTCACTTGCTTTTTCTAGGAACAGCAAAGGAGAAAGGTAGGCAAGTCAGCTTTATCACCCTGGATTCAGAAGCAGAGGCACAGAAGAAAATGTACTATGTCAGTGCCTTTTTTTTTTCTTTACATTTTTTTATTGGGGAACAGTGTGTTTTTCCAGGACCCATCAGCTCCAAGTCAAGTAGTTGTCTTCAATCTAGTTGTGGAGGGCACAGCTTCAATGGCCCATGCGGGGATCGAACCGGCAACCTTGGTGTTATGAGCCTGCACTCTAACCACCTGAGCTAACCGGCCACCCTGCATCTCAGTGCCTTTTAATCTCTCTTTGGTCATGGTTGGCTTTGTGAGAATCTGATGAAAGCTATGAACCCTCTCCTTAAAATGCACATACAGATGTTTTCAGGTGTTCTGGGTGGTTCTCAGGTTCCATGAAGCCTGTTCATGGACCCCAGGTCAAGGAACCCCACTTAGGTCATGCCTTGAATGTCCTTTGCGTGGTTCCATGGTGCAGCCCAAAGGAAGCTGGAGATATTCCCGGGCTCCAGGAGGTGGGCAGAGCGAAGGTGGCAGAGAGGAAGGTGTATAACAAAGGCTAGAACGCGGTGTATTAACCACATTATCTGTGTTGGAGAGTTTCTCAGCAATGGTCAACGTATCACCACTGCTCACTGCCCAAGCCATCCAGTATGTCCCTGGGCTGCTTCCTCTGGACATCCTACAATGATGCTCAGAGAAGTCTTGGAGAATCTAATCACCGGGGTATTTTAGGGACTTAAAAAATCAAGTGTTGGGCCGGCCAAGAGGCGCGTTGGTTAAGAACTGGCTTGGGACGCCAGAGGGCCCCGGTTCGGATCCCACATATGAGGGCCAGTGACACTGCCCTCCACAGCTAAGATGCTGAACAACAGCTCAAACTGGAGCTGGGCTGCCGTGAGGCGCCAGCGACAGCGTAGGCTGCAGCCCCTGCTGCAGTGGGTTGCCATGGGCTACCGTATGTAGCCAGCAGCCAGCGTGAGCAGCCAGCAGCCGCAGTGAGTGGCTGTCCAGAAGCTGGTGACTAATCTGCCTCGCCCGGGAAGAGCACAATGATGGTGCCAACTTGGGCCAGTGAAGCAACATCCTCCACAACTAGTCTGAAGAACAAAAGGACAGCAACTTGTCTGTTCCTCTTCCCCCAATTCCCCAGCACTGTTCCCCTCCCCCAATTCCCCAATAAAATCTTTAAAAAAAAAAAATCAAGTGTCCAAGTGTCTTGTGCGCGTGCATGTGTGTGTGTGTGTGTGTGTGTGTGTGTGTGTACTCATGCTTCACTATAAAAGGAAGAGGTGTGGGTGTAAGGTTTTAGCAATATCTGCTATTTTGGACACCCATGTTTTTTCTGACCTCTAGGTAGTAAAAAATAAATAAATAAAACAGTTGCTGTCATTGAACATTTTAAAGTGTAGCTTTCAAGATGGAACCATAAACTATCTTACACTTCAGTGATTTTTGGGCTTTTTAGCCATGTTAGCCCTGCAAATGTTCACTATGATTGTAAAACGGTATTTAATAACTTGTGGAATATCAGGCCAGACTGCCTGAGAAACACCCCATCCCCACTGCTAAATAGCTGAGTGACCTCGGGCAAGTTTCTCAACTTCTCTGTGCAGTTTCTTCCTCTATAAAATGGAGATAAGAGATTCCACCTCATAGGATCAATGGGGAGATTATATAAGTGTGTAAAAGCTTAGCACAGTGCCTGCCAAGAGTTCAATGATCGTTAACATCCATTTTTGCCGTAAAAGTTCAAATATTTCCTCAAATGTGGACGGTCCCAGATTTAACGCTGCCCTTTGCTGCTGAGGAATGGTCCCTGATGCCTCGTTTAAGATCATCCCTGGTTCGCTTCAGGAGGTCACTGTTGGTTATCTCTTCCTGGATACATGATCTCGTATAATTACCTCATTTTCTACAAGAAAAAAGTCCACATTTTACCTTGGTTCTGCTGTGCTGACTCCGGATTGAGCTCTCAGACAGTTTTAGCTCACAATCTTGAAAGCATTTTTATTTGCCTTTCAATTAATTCCCTCCTAGTTCTTCATCGTCCTTCTGAAACTGCAAAGGATTGCAGATAATGTCTGCAATGTCACAAACCAGCTGCAGAGGGACCCTGATGGGCAACGACCTTGCTTTCCTTGCCCCTCCCCCAAACCCAGCAACACTTACAGAATCAAGCTGTGTTTCCACGGTCGGGTTGCTAGGCAAAATCACACTGCTTATTTACCAGCCAGCAGAGCAGCTAGCAAAGGGCTTCACAAGAGCCCAGACATGTTCTTGGACTGACAAAATTGGTACCCCGGAAGAGGTGGTTCGACATAATATTTGGGTAGAAGTGGTAGGATAGTTGTGCATCTCTATCCCAATCTTGTTTTCACACTTTATTGATGAGAATAATGTTTTCTTTCCTTCTCCTTAGGCAAACAGCATTACACAAAACTATCTTCTGTGTCCAACTGATGCTGACTGCAGGAATTTTTGAAAAACTCAAAACCCACCTCCTGTAGCGTTCCTTTAGTTGTCAAGATGATATGTGCAATTATTTCAAAGAGCAAAATAAGTGCCATACGCAGGAGGCAGGGGAGCTAACTTTAAGAGCAATCCTTCGAGAGAGGCATGTGTGTGCTGACAACTCTGGAAGTTGACTCATTTCAGACCTCAGAGGGCTAAGCCACATGTCCGATGTTCATCAAGCATAATGCCCTGCCTGTGTCTGTTTATTTCCACAGTCTCATTTTAGAGAGCAACTGTATTTCTATTCATGTGTGGGCTGTTTCTTTACTTGATTTTTACCCCTCTCTAATGCCTATTCTTTTTTCACTCTTATGTTATTTCTTAGAATTCTGAGATCAGCAGAGCAAACCGTTGTGTGTGGCTGAGAAATTGTGTCTAACCTGTGAGTTGTAGCCACGACATTGGAGGTTTTCTACAATAATAAAGATACTGCAATAAAGACCCTGGGACAGGAGCTAGATGTGGCGAACTCTAGTTTATGGCTAAGTTTGCTTTTGTGGAAATGCAGATATATCACCATGGTAATACAATCGAACTGAGAATAATGTCTCCAAGTGGAAAGATAATAGGATCTGTCTGACAAAAAGCATTGACTTTATTTTCCCATATTATGATGTTTCCCACAAAGATCTCTTTTTAATAGGTCCAGTTCTAACTAATACTTTCAACATCACAACGAATAGCCATGTAGTGCCAGCAATTATGTAAACTATGAGGAGACTTTTTAAACACTGTTTGTCTATAATCTTCATGGCAGAGATACTGTAAACACTCATTAGTGAGAACCGTGCAGTAAAATCTCCATGGAGACTATGGAAAATATCCTACTCAAAAGCTGAATACACAAATGGATCATATCTATACAAAAAAAAAAGTTACAGCTAGCATCTGACTCTGAGCCATGCTGCAGCATCTAACAGAGTATTAGTCATCTCAGTGCTTTGCTGGTATCACCATGAAAAGTTTTTTTTAAAAAAACTTTTAATATATACAATTAAATTGTATTTATCACTGAAATGCCAGTGGAGGTGCCTCTGAGATGGAGAAAATCTTTACTCCACAAATAATAAAAATTCCCAGCCGTTCCACTCCAGGAACACTTTAATTAAAGTCTTTGAAAGTTTTCTGTTCTCAAAGTCGGTGGCTTTTAACATTTGAAGATAACATTCTATTGAAACACAAGATTTTTGCATTCAAAATTCAACCAATTAATTCAGCACATAATTATTAAGAACCTTTTTTATGTCAGGGGCTGTTCTAGTTGCAAGGGGCACAGCAGTTAGAAAAAAAAGAAAAAGAAAGAAAAAGTCCCTTTGTAGTACACACAGTCCGGGGGGCGGAGCAGGGCAGGAGCAGTGGAGTCAGGCTGGAAACCTGCTTTGTGGCGCTGTCCATGGTGCCCAGCCCTGGTCCAGCTATTGAAGGCAAAGGTTGGTGCCTACTGACATCCCACTGATTAAAAACATCACCTGGGAGAGAAGAAAGGAATATTCTTAGAGCTCTGGCATGTGGCATGTGCCAAGTGTAATGGGCTAGATCCTTGGATTTTTATTAGCTAGGAATTCAGAAACTATGTTGCATAAGCAATCACACCAATGTAGGAAACACCCAGATATAACCTTGGCTGAAGAATGGTCCTTCTCTTTAGCTGGGGTGTGAAAGGCAGACCCATGGAAAGGAGAGAAGGATGGGACACCTCCTGATGAGCCAAATCAACAGGATAACTCCTGACAATCTGATAGATGCCCTGCGCAGCTGCTCATGTATCCGAATCCTAAATTCATCTTACCCAGGTGTCAGCAGCACAATGAACAATGTTCCCACCCCAAAATGCCCTCCACACCATCACACAGACAAGTGCACAATAATAATGCAGTAACAATGCTACACAAGTGAAAGGTAGACTCCCTCTTCTCCCTCAGCTGGCTAACAGGGGTCCGAGGTTATTGTTCATTGGCCATCAGTCCACAATAGTCAGGACACGAGATCCCCCAGATGGAATAAATGTTCTTTCCCACCCCTGATGCTTCTCTCCTTGTGCAAGGAGCCTTATCGCTATAACACACATGGCCTCCAGCCTCCTACTCTGACCCAGGCCTTGGCCTCTTCCTCCCCCACTCCTTTTGGGAGCAAGTTTCCCTCTAGAAGTGTTCCTAGTAATCCCTTGTCTGATTCTGGGGTTCTATTAGGAAATCCGTTTGTCCATAGATAGAAGCCATGTTCTCCAAGTGCTGAGGGAATATAGCAATATTAGGCTTCAATCTGTGTTCTCCTCAATCGGAGCCCTCCTCTACTGTGGGCACCAACTGCTTCACCATCTGTGCACAACCTGCCTCTCCCGAGCCCTGAATCTTCCTAAGTCTCTTGAACAAAGAGTGAGAGACTTGGACACTGAGTGGAGTAGAGACGTGGAGAGAGAACCTTGCCCCCAGCCAAGGTGGAGTTGAACAGTGTCAGGTGGGAGCTTC